GAAGTGATGAGTACACCTGGTTTGTGAATTACAATGTTGTTGCGTTCCGTTTGTTCGCCTTCTGTCCGCCAGCCTCATTAAAGGAATGAACTGATTTGAACTGTTCAAAGAACAATCATTCTGTGCGGTGATCATTCGTTCACGTAATAAAATCTCAACCATGTGCAAATGAACGAAGTTCTGCAGTGTTAACAGCACCACGATTATGTATCTTATTTACTCATTTCAGACTTGGATCTCATTTCAGACTTGGATCACAGTCAGTTGAAGCAGTTATGTGACGATGCATTGACTAAAATTGAGCAACTTACTGTTAATTCGTCCAAAGTTGGTGTTGGTGGCAAACAGTTGGATCTGCTCAAAGCTGATCTGCGTAGTTCGGTGTTGGCGGCCGGTGCTAATAATGCTAAAGTGGCAGCTGCACAGGTCTGCGATTCTCATTCGATCCATTTGAAGTGCAATAGTTGATGATGTTATTTCAGTGCTTCACTGTATTTGATCACTAGTCTAGTAGTCAACGCCTATATGCATTCAGGATTTAATGATCGCTGTAGCGGACTTCTTGTATCGTCTCTATCATCAGCTTGTATCAACGCACGGTTTGGAGGCGGATAAAAGTGCGGCTGAGGTTATGAAAAAATTGCGACAATTCGCTAAGGACAACGCCGAAAGCGAAGAATCAGCGCAGTGTAGTGTATTTAGAAACTTATTTCCATTTATTTCGATCCATCTGTTTATTCCATAGTAATAGGAAAATTCTAATTATTCATCTTGAAATCCACAATTATTCAAGTTTTGAAAATTCTCTTGTCCATATGGAACAGAGAGAGCAGATTTCGTGTTATAACTTGGCAATACACACAACTTACGTGCAGCCACTTGATCGCAATGGGTTATGAGCTCCACACTGTCCAAATTCTCTCTCATATAAGCATAAGGTGACATTTGATAATAAAATAACTGGAACGATGAAATTCTGGTAGCGATAAACAATTAAACAAACGCCTTCTCGAAATTGGACGGCTACCTCGCCAATCAGGATTTCTTGCCTTAAATTATGCTTCTGATGGATCTTCCTTAGTTTCTGTCAGTAGCGATGAAACGTTTCGAGCAATTCGGAATCAATTGTTCATTTTGAGTGGTGGACGAGGGCGTTGAGAGCGGAACGGAAACAGAGGGAGGGCGATCACCGCGAATAATGCTCAACCTTCAACGACATGTGATATCGCCGAATTTTGCGAAAGCCATGAACGAACAACTCGGTGGTGATCGTATCGAGGATATCGTCACAGAAAGTGATCTCAGAGAGAGGATCATTCCTGGTCGGTGCAAAGAAATGCTTCGTTTGTTTTTATTTGATTCAACATTCATACCTTCCTTCGTCCCTTCTTGAATACTCTCAATTAGCCAACTATTCACTTCACTATTACCCACATGACGGTCACAATTGTTTCATTTCTGTGTTCATTTGTTATTTTCGATATAATTGCACTTCCAGCGGATAGCGATGTATTCAAAGTATCAGATTGCTTAATGGAACTGTCGAAGATCTTACGTCGAACCGTTGAGAATGCAATGAACGCTCGGGTTGAGAACGAAGATCAGCAAGAGCTCACGCTCCAAAACATGAAACTTCGATCGCTGCTTGCCACAAAGAGGTCAGCATTTATATCTGTTTATCAATGATTTGAGTAGCGGAGAGAGTATCATTTGTCTTTGAGTAGAGCACCAAATTCTACAACAGCTACTTATGTGATCGACATTTTCGATTGCTAGCACTGAAAGTTTTGCGATAGTAGGGATCTTTCATTGGTGTTGTTCATTCTGAATGAATTCGTTGATGGGAACGGGCGATTGTTGTGTGAGAATGCATCGAATAGTGTTCGCAACCGCAGCAATTTATTGACTGCGCTATTGTCGTGGATTATATTATATAATATCATGAATGAACGTAAATTTTACACGATATACAAAGTAACAAAATTGAGCTTTTCACGAGATTAATAGCTTAATAGATTAATAGCTCAGCATAAGATGAGAATTATTCACAACGCTAAATATCTTTCTGATTGTGAGGAAAATTCAATGCTCTGATGGAAATATTTAAAATTGACAAATTTCTTATGAATTCAGATAAAACAACTGTCGCATTATTTTCACAATTTCACAGTTTCGCATGGCTCGTTGTTTGTAGTCATGAGAGTAGTTGATTATTAGCTGGAATACCGAGTTGACGTGTTATCGATAAAGGTGCGTTCCGAATTTTTGGAAAGTATTTGATAATCGCCAGAAAACATTGCATCAAAAGACTTCGAGGGTTCCTGAAAATTGATTCGTTCATATAGAGTGTGAATTCTTCCGTATTTGTGAACGATCTGAAAATCTTTGTTTTAAATTTCCTCTTTACTTCGCACCATGTGTGCAAATTACAGGCTGAATTTCAAGTCTTTTCTCCTTTACATTCAGAAATTCCCTTCATACACTCGTCTTTCTCAGTCGCTATGAGATATCTGTCCTCGTCGAAGTTCATATCGTCAAGTTGATTGCTTAGATGATGGTATGTATTAAACATCAATGGCTAACCTTATTTTGATGAAATAGAACGAATCAACGAATGCTTCTGTGTATTGATCTGAGAATAATTTCTTAAGCAGCACGACCGTTCCGTGCGGTGTGACGTCGAGTGTTAATTGATCGAATTCAATGTCCTCAAATGACCAGTTTAATTTCTTCCATTTTAATGTCCTCATATTGAGCATACTAACAGAACAATCACTTTTAAAATCGCACTCTACAGAGACCACGGCCGGTGGTGCTGTTTCTGATATCACCCATAAGCAACCGTCACGTTCTACGTGTTTCACCTGAAATTTTGTGCCTGTTTCAGATGGCAAATCCATCACGGGCAAACAACCTGAGTTTCTGTTCAGAGTATTGTCTTATCAATTTTACGCAACTTAATAATTTATTTTATTGGTGTTTAGCAAACGGTCCAATAATTCCAGATTTTAGCCTGTTTTCCGATAACTTTTATACACCGGTGATAACCAATGAATTATAACAATGTTCTCAGAGTGATAATTTATTTGAGTTTGAGCACGTACTGAAATTTCAACGAACCCTATGTGGCATGCAACCGTAAGTATCCTCGGGAAAACATTCGGCTTTATCGAATTCTGTGTTGACCACTTCAAAGCGACCATATTTTGTATCTGTTCGTAGCAAACGTCCCGTTAGACATTTTCCTTCTTCACTTCCATTTCTTGCTGTTTCGAATAGGTAAATATGATCACCGTACACCCATGGTTGGCCTGAATCTTTTTTAAATTGGTTTCTATGTTACTTCATAGTCTTTAGTCTCTTCATTTCTGTATTATCGTAAAATTTTCACCTGA